ATATAGAGACAGACTCATAGAGAGCAGGCTGACAGCTTCAGAGGTAGGGTTGGGTGGGGAGGGGTGGAGGAATTGAGCAAAGAAGAAGAAAATAGAAAAAAGAGAAAACAACAGGGTGGTGATGACTGGGAGTGGATGGGGTGTGGAGGAGGGCATAGGGGATAAATGGTGATGGACAGATATTTGACTGGGGGTGGAGATCACACAGTACAGTGTCTTATTTCACTTAGCAGAATGCGCTCCAAAATTCTACTGGTTTCTGATGTGTTGTAGAATTGTACACCTGAAACCCATAGAATTTTGTTAGCCAGTGTCACCCCAATAAATTCAATAAAAAGGAGCAAATAAAAATGTGTATTTTGTTATGTGCACTGAGATACATGAAATTAGCATTTCTTTTAATAAAGCTTTATTTCTTTTAATACTTAAGAACGAGTTTAATGTATTTCAGAAATATTTACCATTTTCCCAGCCAAATATGCTTGCCGTCGTTTGGACCGTTCCTTGCTGTAATCCAGTTTCCCAAGGTGCTTTGTGAGTGAGCAGCCCTAAGCGCGCTCTGCAGACCTCTCCGCAGCCGCTGGCACTGTGTGGCTCCACTGGTCACAGGCGTGGCGAGTGTGTGGCCCTTAGCAAGGCCGTTGTGCTGGGCCCCTGAGCAGAGGCAGCATCCTTAGGGCTGTGTCTGCCTCAGCTCAGGGTGCTCTCCTGAGGCCTGCCCGCCTCACTCCGCAGTGCCCCCTCCCTCGCTGCTGGGCAGAGCCTGAGACTTTGTATGGTTTTTGGTGGTGTGGTGAATTTCTGATTCAGATTTTTACACTGTTGCTCTTTTGTGGGTTGTGCTATTCCGGTGTTTCTCGCTTTGCTTTCTTCCCAGAATTTGACAAAGAGATTATTTTAAAATGAGGAAACGTAATGAATTAATTGCATTGCCTTTAGTTAAGCTCATTTAATTTAAAAAATATATGCAGAGAGAAATTAAAATAGAGTCACTCCAAGAGAGGAATATTTAACTAAGTATTTTGTACAAGAGACCTCTAATCACGGTCCCCTTCCCATAAGTGAATTTCTATTGCAATTAAAATAAAATAATGGTAAAGCATCCATTCCCACAGACTTCAGTGTACCGGTAGTCAGTGCAGGACACAAGGATAATGCTCTAAACGCCACAAGCAGGAAATACAAAGAGCAAATTAGACCGGGGTGGGTGAACCTTAGCCCGAGGGCCTATACGGCCCCGCCTAGTGCTGATGGCCTGTGGGTGGAGCACGGCTTTTACAATATTTTTAAATGGTTAAACAAAGTCTACAAAGATAATATGTTGTGACACATAAAGTTGTATTCTAGTTCCAGCCCACAAATAGCGTTTCACTAGAGCACAGCCAGGCCCACGCACCGAGGTGCTGCCTCTGCCTTTGTCAGCGGCAGAGCAGAACATGGCTGAAGCGGAGCAGGTGACTAGCGGTGCCTTTTTGGAGAAAAGGGGATGACCCCCGACCAAACCATAGACCGTGCCTGCAGTAGCTCATAGGCAGCCTTCAGATAAAAACTTTAGTTGATTTCCCCCCATAACTGGTATATTTCCCGGTAATATTAGCTGGGATAGTGGCCCGGGGAAAGCAAATTCTGTGTATTCCAGTCCATATCCTTCTCAGGAAATACCTGGTGGGGAGGAGATGGCCAGAAATGCATACCCATTTGTAAACGTTGGTTTATTTGTTTTATTCTGTGAATAATTAAGTTTAAGAAGCCTTTTGGGCTTTGTTTTGAATAATTATCTTGCTGAAAAGTGTGATGCTCGTCATTCATAAAAGTGTAGACATCCATGCACAAAACCGTCTGTGCCGCAGAGCGTGTGTCATAGAATTCAGTGTCTGCTGTGTCCCCCAAAGCGCGAGCTGAGATCTGTGACGGCTTCTCTCAACCCCTCCTTGCCTGTGAGGCACCTGGGCAGCTTCAAACTGCTGCCCAAGTTCAAGCCAGGGTCACTCGGACCAACGTGGACGGCTAAGCCTTCCTAAGGAAGGAGAGCAGCACTTTAAAACATAAGCGCACGATTTTTTAAGTAAATGTTTTGTCCTGCTCCTTGCTGTACCTGATCTGCTGCCTCACTTCCCCCGCGCCTCCTCCAGCCCCTCCTCCAGCCCTTCCCTCCTGACCCCCTGTGTCTCCCACCTGTGTTTATGCTGCTGCCCGGCCCCCGCCCCCTCCCCGCTGCGGCCCCCGCCCCCTCCCCGGTTGGGCCCCGGCCA